AGTGGGGGATTGTTGGGTTACCCGGCCTTAGGTGTTGGGCTGAGGTTTTCGTTGCAACGCGAAGTTCTATTTGCACCTCGGGTACGTTTAACCCGCCGTAATTGTTCGTGTTTTACTTATACAGATGTCTTTACCGTTAGTTTGGAGGAGTGCGGAATGAAGTTGTTTTACCTTACCTCTTACCTCTCATCTTTGCTTGCATACTGCTGTAGTGCCACACATATCCACTTAGCCTTCTATTCCCCACTGCGCAATAGGTCCACTGCGCAATAGGTCCACTGCGCAATAGGTCCTCCCTTAGCCCCATATCAACATATTTCACGAAAGACTCTTCAGAGCACCGCAAATATTGGTATGATATGATACTACAGTATTTTGTTATTTTGGTGAGCGGTATTTTGTATTTTGTATTGCGGAACCTGTTGGAAATAGCAGTGGATGGCTGCGTTGGTGCGGGATGTGCCCGCACATGGAGGCTCTAGTGGTATACATATGTACTGCTGAAGGACGCGTAAGCTATGAAAATTTTTCTGATCCCTATCTTTTCTTCCCTTCTGTTCTCTCTTATGAGACAACACTTCCTGTACCTTTACATTTCTCTTCAAGTTCTTCCTTTCTATCATCTTATGACAATCAATCATGGTCTTCACCTTCACCTGAGTCAAACCTCATGTCTCCACTTGAGCCATTCCACTCCACTGCGTAAACCCTCTCGGCCAATCATTACCCAGTGTTCCCAACCGTCCCGGGCATCTCGGGCGGGGTGGGTAAGGACGGCAGGGCATGGCATCCGTCTTTGAAAAAGACCGCCGTCCGAGGGGTTGACGCCCGGGCCCGGCCGTCATCTGCAGGGCGATTTGCAGGTGAGACACCTATAGGGCCCGGCCGGCCGGCCGTCCCGGGCAGACGTTAGGGCGGACCACAGGACGGGCATCCGTCCAGGGCAGAGTTCCAGGAACCGGCGTCCGCCCCTTCCGAAGCCAAGGACGGACGGACTGGACTCTTGGGAACACTGAATGAACCTCCCCAACAATCATTTTTCAACAAAACCCTTTATAATATGTAGTTGGGATACACTGCCATTCTTGATCGCATATTAGGGAATTCTGGGTATCATGCTGCAGGCGATAAAATAATGACACTGCATAAACGCCTTTGCTTCTGGGGATACGCCATCTTTTTATCCGGTTCGCGAGCTGCTTTCATGAAATTTGTGAAACGGGATGATACCTTTCTTTATATTTGCGCTTGCTGAACAGGGTGTAAGTTATCTACCGTTAATGACAAGTGGGAGAAAAGAGGTCCTGTGAGCTAACGGGACCGATAAAGGATAAGTCCTGGTGTGGTGCAGCGTAGATCCGGCCGTGGAACCCTCAGGAATCTTGGTCTTGATCCCAATAGCTAAGAGAAAGATGACCACACCATCTAGCGTTCATATCCAAACTACCATCCACCTACTCAGGAATCCCACTACGGGTCCTACCCCGGATCGTGTAACGGAAAACGGCTACATTCTATAACAAGAATAGATGCATTGTGCATGGGGTGCAGGAACATTCCAATACTGACCCCCCACCCCTCCCAATGCGCAGGCGGGAGAAATAAAGTTGCAATCTGTAGGCGCTATGATACCAGCAACCTCACCAAACAGTCCCCAGACTGGACCGGGGCGATATGCGTTGCCCGCCGGAGGTCCTCGAGGAGGTGTGCGGGCGCAGGCTGTGTGCACTCACGATAGCTGGTGGCCCGTCTTGGGATGCTTTTGTTACTCGTTGGCAGGGTCCTAGGGGGAGCAGTAGATTATTCTAGGCTTTAAGGTTAATCGGCAGGTAAGAAGTTCTAGTTAGAACCACCCCAGCCATGATACGCTAGTAGTGGTGTGGGGAGCACTATCACGATGAGTGTTTTCTAATGAATCGAATCTGCACTGCGGAAACACTACCAAGTCTCGAGAGAGAAACAAAGGACTCGGAATGCCAGCTCAGCCACATTAAGATACCTCCTCCCCCTCCTCACTCACCCATCAAGGACATAACCCCCCCCCCGCCTCCCAATCCCCCTCGTCCGCGATCATCGCAACCAGCCCGCCCCTCCAGGGGGGACTCCTTAAACTGCGCTCATTACCACTCATTGGCCCTTCCCTCCATTAATCAAACTGATATTCTGGGTTGATCTCAACACAATATCAAAATGCTCCTAATCAAAGCCGTAATCCTCTCTCTCACCATCTCATCTACTAATGCGCATATGCTACTCAAGAACTCACCCAACTTCGGTTTCACAGAGAACACGCTCTCCACAAAACCCGACGTTGACTTGGATGCTCCGGTATCCAAGGCACAGTTTTCCTGCAAAGGCTACCACAAAGACCACTTGCGAGGGGCCGGGGGAGGCGTCGCGACGTGGGCCGCCGGGAGCACCCAAGCCTTCAGGTAGGATATCCACACAATCCCCTAAGCATCGGACATGAACTGATATATTGAGATAGTGTCTCCGGCGGCGGCGCACCCCACGGCGACAGTAGCTACCAGATCTCCCTTTCATACGACAATGGCGAGACCTTCAAGGTTATGAAGTCATTCACAGGGAACTGCCTATCCACGGACACCAACCGCGAGTGCTCCTTTCCTGTCCCGCGCGATGCTGCCGGTGGCCCGGCGGTCTTTGCCTGGACTTGGTATAATAAGCAGAGCAATCGAGAGATGTATATATATGGGATGTGCCTGATGATGGTGGATGGAGAGCACGAATGAATGAAGCAACACAAGTGCGATTAAATGCAAGAAAATGAGGAAGGATGATGAAAGAATGGATGATCGATGTTGAATGATGGTGAAAGCTGATGATGAGAACTGATGGTGAAAACTACGCCTCTAGCTAAGGACAGAATGGGAGATATATATCTCCAAAGCAACAAGAACTCTGGAACTCTAAAGAAACACTATGAACACAAAAGAATTACTCATCCTGACGAACCATGATCCTCTGTGCTCCACAACAATCTAGAACTCTCATGAACCTGTAAAAAAGAACCAGATGCCTAGATACAAGGTGTGAAAGAAACCAAACCCCATCTCCAATGGCCTCTGGCAACGGGAAACATCAACAAAAAACCCAACACCTATCCTCCCTAGAAGCATGAACCATCTATCCGTATAACAACCAACTCACATGCCCGATAGGCACTCCAACAGTGCCGCTGTTACAATCACCAATAGCGGGAGCGGGATAGGGAATCTGTTTCCGAGGATATTTGTCGCGGGTATCGGGGAGCGTGCACTACTGTTGATAGTGTAGTGCCGGAGTTCCCTAATCCCGGAGCGGTGGTGGAGAGGAGCGGTGAGGTGGCGTTGAGGCTAGTGGGTGCGGGGTGCGTTTAGATTCGGAGGAGGGGGTTTCCTAAAGATCTCTCCGGGGGGGGGGTCCATGGGGGGAGAACTCATATAGCTTGGTAATCCAGTTTCGCGAGCCCAACCAGACCTTAAATCATACACTACTTGGTGCGACCATCAGTGGGCATCTATGGCCCGCCTGTATAGTCTGACTAGTCCAAGCCAGCCCCATACACCATTCGTGTTTTTTCCGTGGGGTATCATAGGATTGGACTCGATGGGCGTCGGACAGGTGGCGGGAGTTCCCAATTCGTGTTAGATGCCATCACCCCGCTCTGCATATGGTCTCCTGGGGAGTCTATCCAAATGTTTGTTTGTTTGATGAAAGGAAATATGCCCGGATAGTCGGGGCTGGCTTTTGATTATGCTAGGTGGTGTGGTTGGGGTAGGAACGAAACTGTGGAGGGAGGTGCATTCCTTCCTACATGCTACTGGTATCCTATTGGCGTGGGTGCTCGTTGCGACTTTGTATTTCTTCCTTCCTTTTAAGCTATCTCTCTGAAGAAATAATCTCATGGTCCGATCAGCTTACTAAAACCCCAAGCGAACTATATCTGATTTGCAAAGGCGAGTGATTGCACATGATGATGCTATGACCGATTCCTTGGTTCGTTCATGCGCCATTTATACGGTACGTTACACGCTCTGTCCCAAAAAATCGTGCAAAAAGGCAATCAAACAAACAAAAATACAATCCAAATTAACTTTACACACTAACCACTCAGGTAGAAGAAGTAGTATTCGAAGTATCCACCGGCCTCTCTGGCCAGACACTTCCGATTCCGCTCCAAACCTTCAAATCCACAAGTTCAACCCCAACTCCCTCGCCGACATAAACCCCAACATCAAGCGCATCATCACGGGTCGGATAGATCCTAGTCGTGAGGGCGAACCTGCCGCCAACGAATACCTCTACCAGACTTCCATCGACGAAGATGTTCATTTCTATATCCTCGACTTCTACTCCCCTCCGACCACCCTCACCGCTGTGGTCACTATCGTGATGGGAGGTTGTGTAAGGCCTGTAATTCCCGCTCGCCGTAGCGTTGGAGAATTGTTTGATGAGCGAAGACTTTGACCTATCGACTACGATGAGTTCTTTCGCGGGATTGAATGCGATGGTGGTAACCTCCTCACCTCCTGGTGAGGCGCGGACCGTGAACCCGGCTGGGCCATCCGCCCCGCGAATAGTAGCTGATAATTCGAAATGGTCTGAGGAAATACCATCCAGTTTCTGCGGGGATGTGTACTTCTTGTCCTCGATCTGGTGCATCTGTGCTTTGCTGCGCAGGCTCTCGACTACATCTGGAAGAGGCTTCATACCTAGGCTTGTCACTGTGTAGGTTCCGTTTGCGGATGGCTTGGAGTAATTCGTGTTTGTTGGAGTGGTGGCGGTTTTGTTGTCTGCTACTACGTTGTAGGTTTTGTGGACGAAGAGTTCCCGAGGAAGGCCCATGGCGCCTTGGAAGCCTTGGGCGTTCACGCCATAGTCGTTCATGTCTGGGGGTTTTCGTTAGTTGGTTCCGGTGCTTGGAGGGTTCTGGGGTGGATGGAGGACTCATACCTTCCTGACTCCAGCCCCAGGACACACGGCGGCACCCTTTGGTGTCGTAGAAACTGGTGATGGCGTAGAGCTGTTTTTGTCAGTGGCTCCTTCCAATCGTGGGAATATGATTAGGGTAAGCATACATTACCCCAATCAGCAGGTCCAACGGCGACTGGATCAAATTGAGCGGAGCCGTTAGCACGACGGCTCGTTTCTCCTTCGGCCCACAACGACCACCGCCCATGTCCGGGGACACCACCACCTTCTGATCCCATAGTTGCAAAGTAGTGATCATTTCCCTCTTCATCTCTCTATAACGCCAATCTCAATTAACACTCTAAAGGCGTGTACGAGGAGAAAAGACACATATCCTACCAACGAGAAAAATCCAGAAACCTCAAAGTTAAACCCATAAGATCCCGTCTCCAGCACATCCCCGAAACTCTCATTATTCTTCGGCTCCCAAAGCGCGCCCAAGAAGGACCACTGAGTGAGATTCCTAGTCGGGGCAGAATAGAACGGAATCCTCGGCCCAACGCCACGAATTCCACTCCCCGCAACCATGTACCAATGCGGTTCAGACTTATCCAACAGATCATCCATTTCAGGCCAGGGAAGGTAGAAAGGATCGCGCCAGCCGGTAATGTTCCAGCCACCCGGGGGTTCGACTATAACAGGGTTACCAGGGTACTTCTCCCATGTCTCCCCGCCATCGTGGGAGAGCGCGAATGACTGCGATTCCGTTTTCGGGATGTACGGGATGTTCCAGGCCGTTGGTAGAGCGCTCACGCCAGTGTAGAAGAGCGCGAGAGTGCCGTCGGCCTCGCCCTGCAGATTGGTGGAGTACCCGGTGCCCGAGAATATCCCTTTAGAATCATAGGCGTCCGGCCCAGCCACTATAGCTGTAGCGCCATCGCCTTTCCAGCCGCCCACGTCGACCCACTCCACCAGGTCGCGGGAGACTGCATGACCCCAGGAGATATTGCCCCACTGGACGTCGTTGGGGTTCCACTATGCTCAGTTGTCAGCAGCGCTTGGTTACAAGTGCGAGATGAAGAATTGCCTGGTACATAAGGTGGTAGATACTCCTCGTGTGATCATACATTGCTCCACAAGGATCCTGCAGAGAGCCATATCAGAAAAATCTCGCACAATTGCCGCCAATCAGGGGAAGTACGTTCAACCACCCCCGAGGAGCAGTAAAATGATATATCGGACGCCATTTCGTGAATAAGCTGTTAGTCGGCAATTCAGTCAAATTAGTATCAGCTTTAATATCAAGGCCCGCTGCGAGGCTTCCGGCCAGCAAAGTAAAGAGGGCTGTGGAACGGAACATCTTTGCTGTTGTTTCTGCCAATACTACGCCGGGAATTTCCAATTGATCGTGATAGGGAGAAGGTAGGCTTATATCATAACCACTAAAAGGGGATGTCTAGGGGGGATAGGGGGGATCATCAATCGCGGGTTGGTCGCCGGGGGTGACCAGTGAGTTAATCTAGTCTCCCTGCTGTAGCTCCCGCCAGGGCCAGTTAGTGCTTTATTGGGTCGAATCAAATTGTATAATACGAGGTAGGGCGGGCTGCAGTATGATTAACTTTAGCCCAGATGCGGCCGCAGCGGTACTGGCGGTATGGGAATGACGACCCCCAGAAAGCAGTCCAGACTAGGTCCGACGGCCGTTGGCTCCACTTCGGGGGTGTCCTCTCACGAAGTTTCCCATTTGAGTAACTTATGTGGCACTCAGGGTTCGCATCCGAGTGCAGTACAAAATACGGCACCTAGCGACATCATATGCCGGTGTTGCTTGGTATGATATATTTACCGTGGCCCCATCCTGGAGAACGCGCTCGTAAAGTAAACCACAGCAAGTTACCGGTATAGTGCCTCAAAAACGATGCATCAAAATACTAGTGCTCGTACTTCGCTCGGGCAACCCGGACCTCCGGCACAAAACCCCCGACAAACCACGGCACCCAGGTGAGGGGAAAGAAATCGAAGAAAAAGATCTTCAAAGTACCCGTCTGGCCCAACACAAACGCACCCAACAAGTGTCCCTCACAGTGAACTCGGCCGCGGATCCCCCACCCCTCACCGATTTCCCCTGATCGGGGAGCAAACCTCAGTATCATCCTGTGGTGGGGGAATACTAGCACTCATCAAGGTCCTGAGGATACCCGTATGTGTCCCCGTCTTTGACCGCAACCACGCAAGTCAGGGAGGAAGGGATTACTCGGGTAAGGCTGTACGAGTACAGTCACACCCCGTTGTCCCGGACCTCGCTCTCCCGGATTCTTTGCTGTCCCGGATGAATTTCTATGAATTATAAATTTCTTTACACCAAAACCGAACCTGTTGTCCCGGATAACTCGCTGTCCCGGACGGATTCTTAGGATTTTGGCCATCCGGGACAACGGGGTGCGACTGTACTCGTAAGCGAAAAAAAATGCCGGAGCGAAGCCCCCTGGAGGCTTGGAGCGGAGAAATATACCGTACCGGTATTGCCTTTTCTCCCTATTTTTTTTTTTTTTTTGATGGGGGAATGTACGGTAGCTGAGTCCAGCGGGCGTCCAATGCTTCGCTGCCGGTACTCGAGCAGTAACTTGTGGTATTGGTGCGGGGACTCCGGCCCGCCGATCATGGTGCTCGTATCATACCTGCACGGGGGTGGCGGGGGAAGGCCTCTCCGCCACTGCTGTATTTCCCCGGCACGGCTAGGGTGTCTGCCGAGAGGGCCGGCTGTTCTCGCATGTGCTGTTCCGCTTTGGCAAGTTATAGTGCCACCAGCGGGTCTACGGAATAAAGAGCGATCAGTTTCTAATGCCGGCAGAGCACAAGTGCTCGTCAAGGAGAACAAAATTTAGTGTTGAATCACAGCGGACAGGGACGTCCGATATTCCCCAAGTATCATACGTGTGCCGCTATGGTAAGATGCACTTCCTTCAACGCCTTTTTCCTTATACTGTACGAGTAGTACGATACTTGTACGAGTATTATACGGTAGTTGGCAACGCGGAAATAGAAACAAAAATAAAGGTAGAAATTATATAATACAGTCAAACCTAGTTGCCCCAGATCACTCGTTATCCCAGACAGTTCCTTCGGATTTTGGTCATCCGGGTAGCGAGGCACGACGGTACAGTAAAGGGATTGATTTAATCCGCGTCGCTCCTCCCCCCAGTCCTCCTCCTCACCAATTCTGCCAATGGCACATCATCGTCGTCATCGTCGACCCCGTAATCAGCTAATGTCTCGCCCTCCTCGTTCATCCATTTTGGAGCTATTACCCTACCACCACCGCTGCCGATCGCCGAAGTCACCGCAGCGTCTTGGGGTCTACTGATTCCTTCCCTTCGCTCAATATCTTCTCTCTGTCGCCTCCTAACGCCCTCAGCCCAGTCGCCACTCTCCCCGCCCTTTTTCGCCGCCGCTGGTATCGGGGCACTTGCACCCATCCAGACACCCTTGTCCGGATCCACGGGCGGCCATGTAGCCCCCACAACCTCGTAGCCATTGACTTCCCATTCCAATCCACCCTTGAGCTTTAGACCATCGCTCCCCTTGATTTCTGCCCCGACCTCCCTTGTTCGAGAGAATGGCCAGAACCATCCCAAGATGTTGGAGCTGCCGCAGAATGCTGAGCAGAGGTTATCCCAAATGCCAATATCATAGGGGAATTGCTGTCGGCGAACACGCTTCTGCCGAACGAGAGCGTCGTGCCGATCCTGTTCCCACGTCTCGATAGTAGTATAGCCTTCCCCGGTCGACCATAACGTTCGAATGAACAGGAGCGAGAGTGAAAACGCAACGAGCAGATCTGTAAACAAGAGCACTGCCAAGAGACACAATACCGGGAACGTATGTGGTGACATATACTAAATAAATTAGCCCCCATCCCCCGTCGAGTCAAGTCACATGAGGTGAGGGCAAACAAACGCTGGGCAAATCCCTCTGAACCCAAACCTCCCACCCCCTCTCAACCAACATACAAAACAGCCAGCAGCAAGTGAAAGCAGAGTATCCCAAAAACTTCAAAAAGTGCGGGAAGTTCCTCCAGCCGACACAATTATTCGTCCAAGGGCAATGATGATCCATACGGACCACGCAGACACCGCAAGTCTTGCAATGGTGGCATCGCGGAGGCTTGTAAGCGTTGCACTTCCGGCACCACTTCGCGCCGTGAGATACAAGGCTTCGGGCTTCCTCCCTGGCGTTACCGTCCTCAGCGTCGGCGCTATCGAGATCGATGTCCACGGGCGTCCATGTTGAAGGAGGACTACCCGGGGAAGTGAAGATACTGCGGACGTAGGTAATCCAGATGCAGGCGACGCAGATGTTGAAAAGGACGTATTCGGGCTCGGTGAGGTGGGGGTATAGGAGGAAGTATTGGGATACGTAGGCGAGGAAGACGATTAAGAGGACTACTCCTACCACTGCCAGGCGGGACAAGAAGGGGTCTAGCATGGTAGTTGAGCGGAGACGAGGAAAAAAGTTTGTTTGGGGCTCTGAGAATCGAGTGTCTATCATACATAAAAGGGTGGCTTGGCATTCAAGTTTACCTGAGCCGCATGCACGAGTACGGTACTCGTTCTTTATGCATCTTCATATATCACTCGGTAATGGTCCCAAAGTGAATGCTTATCCGGGTGAGGGGTTCCCTTGACCATGCTATGATACCGTAGTGCCCGAGCGCTTGTGTTTAACAAGGCACGTAGATCCACCACCCGTGTAGCATTCAAACTTAAGAGTCGAAACCGTCACAGCACGTGTGCGCCTGGGCAACCCCTCCACTCCTCTCTACAATTTCCCCGTACCCCTCAGGCAGGTACACTTCCGCAAACCCAAATCCCCGGGATGATCGGGTTTCCTATCCATACCCCCTCCTTCCCTTAGGAGGGCTTTTGCCCACAGTAGCTTAGTCCGAACCGCAATGGGACAACCCCCGCCTTCCGTGCCTGCCAGAAGTGGAGGCTCCTAGTACTCATCCGTTAACCTATCATACTTCAAGTCCCCCACCAGGATATCATACTAGGTGCGGAATACCAGCAACTGAATCCAGACTTGGTACAAGTACCGGTACTCGAGTAAGAGGGAGGCGCTCAGACGCAGGTCTGATCTTGCGGGGACCTCCCTCGCTTCGGTTAGTGTTCCCCCAGAACCTAGTTTTGTTAGTAGTCACTTGGTATCACTCGCCCAAACAATCTAAAGGTGGAGCTGTACTCGTACTGTACGGAGAACCAGAATGGAAATGGAATATATTCCGAGATATTAAATCCATAAATACAAATCTTCTTGTTTCTCTGCCAACACATTAGCTCCCCGCATAGCCTCCTTAACCTGCGGAAGTCTATTGAGCTCGGTATGTTTACCGAATATCTATTCGCCCTCCTCTACTTACGACCACCCTTTTCTCATCTAACTTGATACTCCGATCCCCAACCTCCCACAAGTTCAACCAACCTTTTGGGAGAAATCGGACCCTCACTTCCGGTTAGGCCACCGAAGGTGCAAACGGATTCCCAGGCATGAGAAATTTCCAAGCAGTTAAATCTGCTTTCCCCTTCCTACCGCATCCCAAGGATCCATATAAATCTCGAAGATCCCCGTTCCCTCCCGCCCCCCAGTCTTTCCCTGAATAAAATGAAAAGAAGGATAAACCCGTTGAAAAGCTCTAGCTAGCTCGGCTCGGGGGATATGGTGGCTCGTTAGGAAGTTCGGGGGGAACACTAGGTTCGATAGCTGTGCTTCATTAGGGGACGATACGCACGCTGAAGGGAAAACCTGTGATGAAATACAGTGGATCAGTATTGTAATCGACTTGCACCCCGTGCGTACCTGCCGAGAGGAATGCAGGCCCCACCGGTCTTTCGTTGGCGCTGGTGGAGTGGGTCACATACCGAGCCTTTGTTTAAACCCCGTGCCCTCCGAGACAGTGCCCGGACACCTCCACTTCTACAGAATAAACGAGAAGCTAAATCCAATACGACCGATACCGGGTCGCAATCCATAATCCACCTAGAATAAATATTTTCAAGAATCTATACACTCTGGCCCACTTCTATTGGCACTTGATTGATTAGAAGTCGTGAAGCCGGGCACTCCCCCCAAACTCCTATAAGCCATAGACCGCGTGTACAAAAAGAGGCCATACCCCCGCGGTTCCATTGGATCTCATGAAATCCACGATCTCCGCCAGCCCTGTAACCTCCGGACTCAGAGAAGGATCAGCGTTTCCCTGAGACAGTGTAAGATCAGACCACTGAACCAGTTGAGTCTCATTGGCCGAGACTCGCAATCCTATTAACCTATCAAACTAAACCTATCGTGGGCTGACAGGCTAATTTCCGCTAATAATAATCCGATAATGGATTTCACCGACCACCCGGGTGGATGTGTCTACTCCCTTCTCAAGCAGACACCCCAGTTGGCCATGTCTATGGGATACCCCTAATTTTCCCCGGAGTGTGCCGTACTGCTGCGTCTTATACGGAGGATTTGAACCCTCCACCAGAACTGCAAAGAGGTGCTCCCAGAAATGACCCAGGAAATCAGCCTCGACAAATATGACCGTGTGGTGCCAATATCTACTGCCCCCGCTATCTTAGGGGCAGTTTCGCGGTGACGTGGTTTGGCCGACGGCCCATGGCCCCACAAGATGGGTAAAATGAGAAGGTTTGAGAGGTACAGTCTTCACTGGGGGCGTGGCGAAACCGGGTGGGTGGCGAACAGGGATCAAATATTGCTAACTTTGCCTAACCCTAACCTTGACCAGTCCACTTTTGCCTATGAAGTAGTCTACCCCCGTTCGCCATCCGCCCAGTTTCGCCATACCCCGGTGGAGACTGTACTATTGGACAGCTTACAAACCATGGTTCGCGGCTAGATTGCGCCGCGCCAAACAACTTTTCAGTAAAGCAAAATTGGTAGGATCTGAAGCGCAGCACCAACTTACGTCCCTAATTTAAAAAAGAAAGAGACTATAGAGTCTCTGAAAGAATGCTTGGATACTGCGCGATCATGGACCCGAACACACATCAATGTTCCACAGTTCTAGTGCCTTTAGAAGTGATACGGATCACGAGGGATCCGACTTACGCATGGTATCCTTTTCCCCCACCTGTGCCACACAGGATGTCACTCGATTGTTGATTTCAGCGACGGTGGGGGTGAAGTTTGGACCCCCCCGGGCCGGCTAACGATTCTGACTCTTGACGGTCGGAGGGTGGAAGTCGTGCAGCATTGGTACTGTAGCATCTCTGGCGTGGCGTCTGAGACTCTGTAGCTGCAGGGAAAGCGACTAGGATGGAGCAGAAGAAAATCATCCTCAGAATTAGAAAGCCAGGAACTTTTGTCAGGATAACTTTTTGCTGTTGTGCTACGAGACCTGTAATAGGAGTCACGGTTTAGGCCCGTCGTAGAGGACCACGTTTATGGCTATGAGGATACATGTGATATCTGGGGTTCTAGGGTAAGGTGACTCACCAGTATGCAAGTCCCTAATGCCCAAGGCGGTTTCCTAATAACACCTAGTGTGTGTGTGTGGGAGAGAGGGGAAAGGAACCTGGTGTATTTCCTCGCGACCTACGGTAGGTTTCTATCTAAAGGGAATAAATGACTGCTATTGCTCACCCACACACATTCCTCCGTACCCTAACAACCATGGGGATAACCCCAGTGCCACATACCAACATTTCCCAGGTCTCAAGAAGCGCAGGGGTGAAAAAATAAACATGCACAATAATATACACCAGGAGGATTCACCTTTGACCCCCTCGCAAAACCCTGCTTCTCCTAAGGAACTCAAGGGGAGAGAATCCATTCCACAACTTGGATAACTGACAGCAAGAGATGATATAGCTGAACGCCGAGGAACTCCAGTGTGCCCCGCCCCGCGGGGTTTCTATGCCTCTTCAGTACCCCCTCCCCCTCTGGACAATGTTAAACATACTTTCACCAGTACTCAACCTGCCAAGGCTCGCCTCAAGAAGATCCACGACCCTCCTGGCATAACCCCTACCAGTACTACCTATATGTGGGGTGATGACCACATTCCTCATATCCCAAAGCTCACTGTCCGCGGGTAAAGGCTCGGGTTCTGTAACATCTAGTGAAGCCCCGGCCAACAAGCCCACTTTCAACGCCTTCGTTAGTGCATCATGATCGATAATCCCCGCGGGACACATTGACGACGTAGGCATTTCTCTTCCCGAGTATTTCGAATTCGGCAGCGGATAGCATGTGTCTTGTTGAATCGGTAAGTAGCAGTGAGGAGACGAGCACATCTACGCCTGATAAGAAGGTGTGCAAGCTAGACTTATCTATACCCGAGAACCAAGCGTCTGGTAATTTGCCGTTCTGATCGCCAGTCCCCGGGAGAATATACCCTCGATCGACCTTAGATGCGGGCGTTGGTCGAGGAGACGCAGTGTATGCATGGATCTTCATTCCTAGCCCGTTCGCGACTCGTGCAACTTGTCTACCGATTGACCCATATCCGAGGATCCCGAGCGTGGTACCTAAAAGGTCTTTCGGATGGGGGTAGGCGAGGTCGTCCCAGATGCGGGAGTGCTGCTGAGAGAGCAATTGATCGAAGGAATTACGGATTGAGAGGAGGGACAGGAAGACGTGCTCGGCGATTTTGGTACCAGTTCAGTTAGACAGAGGGGTATAGACGAGGAGCTGCAGGCAAGGTACCTGAATATGCCATTACCCGTACAAAAGGTGATCTTCGTATCGGTATACAAAGGCTGCTTTACTACACGATCAAAGCCAGCACAGGACAACTGAACAATCTTCAAATTCGGTACTTGCTCGATATTCGGAAGTGTCCAATCCACAAGCAATACCGCTGCGTGTCTTAGCAACTCTTTCAGTAGTATCAGCGTCCTGTGTATAGAAATCTTGACGAAGTCGAGCTCCTACCGTTAAGTCGGGGGCTATCGTCGGGCATACCAAAGTACCATAACCCATCCCACTCCTTCAAAGCGTAGAAGTTGAACGTATAATTGGGAAACCTCTTTACGAGCCGGTTATAACCCTCCGGGGGCTCTCTCTGCGGGAGAGTGATGAGAATATTCTCCGCAAAACCGGCGTTTGCGCCACCGGTAGACGATTGCAGAATTTCCCTCATGGCCTAAAGGAAGTGGTGCTGTGGAGGGTTAACTGAGGGAGTAGAGAGAACGATAGGAATGCCCTGGAGATCTAGCCTCGGGGCTTATAAGACAGGTCTGTACATAATCCGGGTATGGTGTGAGAGCGTATCTAGAAAAGTGTCACCTTTACCCTTATTAAAGTTTCGTCCATATTGGCAGTGCCGATAGAGAGTATAGTCGGTGTGTGATTATCGCGCAATATGAGAGCAAAGGCCCTAGTTCGGCCCGACGTCCCCACTTTCAGGATGAGCAGTATCCCACCGACAACTCGGTCTTATTTCTCCACTATTCCGTCGAACGGCGCAACTCCAATACGACTGTCGGTATGTCACGTGCTCATCCAAGTTAACTTTCACTTCGGAGGAGAGCTGAGCACACCGAAACTGCTGACCCTTCAAGAATGATAACAGTTTGTATGCACCGTGCTACCGTAGCTTAAGAATGAGTCTCTGCATCCGCTCGGGTGTGTACGCGGGTGATGGGATAGCAAGAGATTCTGGAGACCTGAACTTACTATCATATACCCCCATAGGATACCGGTCCAGTTGCACCTAGCTATAGTGAACGGAAGGACCGTGGTTGATGTGTTAGCCGACTTCCCGGCCTTGCTATTAGCTTATCCTCATAGTGCGAACAGCTTTTTTCGCGTTCGCTATCCAGGTGCAGCTGCATGGCATAGAAATTGTTTGGATAAGCAAGAGGCTTCGATAACTCTAATACCCGGCCGCCCGTTCACCCACACCTCCAACTAACCCTAGCACCAGTACCGTACAATACATGGTCCCCTGCGCAACCGCCGGATGTGGCGGAAGAGGAGCCCGGCCAAGCGGCCCCGGGGAGAACATTGAGTGATAATTACCACACCATACGGTAACACTATCTGGGTTTTCTTCCATCTCGCGTGGCCTGTAGGCCGTACGTATGGAGGTATAATATCGCATTCCCAGGCATGGCGGAAGGCGAGGTGGGCCGGGGGAGAGGAAAATGCGCGGCACAAAGCGTAGTGTCGCTTGTCACCTCACTCAGTTCAATCCTGTTGGGGGCCTCCCGCGGAATATCGGGCGGGGTGCATGCCGGTATTTGTGAGCTAACTTAGCGGGCGAGTTCACTCTTCGTCATAAGTTGCACAGCAAACGGCCGCCACGGTTCACCTGTTTCCATAAGGGAATCTCATCAGGCAGAAGGCTTGTTCGGGTCTGGGAATGTACGAGTACTGTGCGAGTGCACCACGGTTCAAAGGGTTCATCGTATCACACGTAGGCGGCGGATAGATATATCCGTCATGTGACGCGTGATAAGCGAACTGTTGCGGTACTTTTGCTTACTACGCCTCACGTGACGGATACAAGTGTGTTTACAATCTCCAGAAGGTGAATTACGGCCTGTTTCGCAAGTTACTGTAAGTTCCTGCAAATTTCGGTGAGGTGAAGCCATCATTTACACCATACCTGAACCGCATCTTCATTTCCCATTCCGGAGAGTTTAAAAACGTCGAGTACGGTATATGGTACTGTATCTACGGTACCGGTACCGGACTCACTCGTGGAACACGACCGGGATATTAACTTGGTGCGCGGGCTCTCTGGCGGATTGCCGGGAATTTACCCCGGAGCTCGGGGAGAATCGCTCGTGCCGGCAGCAAAATATTGTGGGACAGACGGAAATTGATGAAGGGAGAAAGGGTGCACTCTGAAGGGGATTCAATGAATGATGCCACCATCATCACCACCACCGTCCTCTGTGGGTTTTCGGGAATGGTCTGGGGAAGCATAGGCTTTCGCATATGAATGTGTGGTGCGGGAGCATGCGTGGGAAAGACGTTGAGTCGGCATTCGTTTCAGCTTGGTACCGATACCGTACGTATATCATGGTAAACCACGGAAATAGCGCTTTTTTGGACACATGAGGAAAGTGGTGTCTGGAGTAATTTTTCGTTTTTGGATATCTCATTGCACCATCATGCAAAGATCTTCAGGATAGAGAGGGTTGTGGTTATCACATGAATATGAAGTGTGCAGCTTATTGGCTGGTCGACGCGGAACAGTCCTGGACCCAAGGCAACGTAACCGGCTGACCACCGATTGGACAGAGAGCCGGGAATTAAAGCCTCTACCCGAGCACCCGCGTACGAGTACTGTATGGCTAACGGCACCACATAGCCCATTTCTGGAGCTGGTATTTTGGCCGCAGTAGGAGTAGAGATATTACCGGTAACGAACCTCGGACACGAAAAGCCCAGGCTATCGCGGGGGGGCATTTTGCCACTGCTCTACCTGAGGACACGTCTGTAAGATTTGCAACTCACTAAGCCTCACTCTGTCCCTGGACAATTTGTCGGCTGAATGGATTACTAACAACAGTGTGGTACAAGTACCTCCAGTAATCCCCAAATCCTCCAGCACCCATCACATCGGCACTTCGGGGAGCGCCGGAAAGCCCTTGGAATCTGCTGTCTCCGCCAGCCCCGTCATCTCTGCATCCAGAGACAAGAGCTCCCGGGGAGGATTAGCGTTTTCCCAACACGGTACGAGCGCAAGTCTAGTGCAGGATCAGCCTGCTACCCTTGTGCGTTGTTGGATCCCATTAACTGGTATCATATTCGCAGCCCCGCTAATCAGCCAAATTAAGCCCATCGTGAGCTTACAGACTGATCTCCACGGATACTCTGATAGTGGATCTGGAGCTTTCGCGGTTGCTATACCGGCCCGGTTTAAATACCGGTATTGCCGGAATATCCCGCTATACAAGAGAAGACAGATTACGGGATCGAGGAGGTATTACTATCTGGTATTTGCATGATGGGGAGGTCGTGAAAACAGTACGGTAGGGATTCCCGAGTTGGGCCCAGCCATCAACAGAATTTCCTCGATGTGTGTTGGGGCATCGGTATTTCCATCTTCTAAAGATCCTTGATATCGTACGTAATTGATAGGGCGAGGGCCGGTCCAATCCATGCCAATGCTTGTACGCCCGGGGTGCTAAAAGCCCTGCACAAGGGTAACATTCTGTGCCCTTGGAGAAGTGAGTCTTGTGGATGTGACTCAATTAGTCAAGTCGATAGTGTATGGACTTGCACTCACATGGTCCTACTATACAGTATCTAGCCCACCGACGAGCCCCTGTGGCAGCTGGTTCTGCTTAGGCCTCGTGATTGATTCGTTATTTTGTTATTACAAGGGCACGATATTCGCACACTCCTACCTCGAGCCTAGCTGTTAGAGATGCCCTACAAGTGCTTGTTGATGACCGGATGAAATAACAATAGCCTGTCTATTGGACTGTCTATCCTGGGCACAAATAGGGCAGCGTGAGGGACTGTAGGAGCCCTTGCCATGAAAAAAGAAATCCCTATAAGGCTGTTACGAGCTATTGTCTTTTCCCAGGCTGAGAAAATAGTGCTGTGTTTATTAATAAACAGGCTTGAAGCCATCGTCTCTAAAAAGAAAGGTCCATGGTCAAGTACCGGTGGTGAACTCCCCCTTTGGCGGTAATTCGTCAAACGGTGCTAGGGTCCTTAGCTTCTTGGCCCCGATCTAAACCTTTTCCAAAACTGCTTGAGACTTCCCGGAACCACTCTTGAATTCTAAACGTATATACAACCTCACACACTCACTATTAGCATGACCAGCAGTGAACTCGAGAACCCCCAGGGAGGCAGTCAGACACGTGGAGGCCTACGAACATTCATGGCCCCTACCTTGGGCAATTAGACTCTCGTGAAATATTATGGAACAGGGCTTCCTATGGGCATACAGGGAGGTGCATTCTCCATCCAATGAGACTGGCAGCAGTGGACGAGTCATCATTTGAGACAGAAAATTTCCATTCAATCGCTCTCATTTCCCGCCCGATCTCCTTACAGCCCCCCAGCTCATCTAAGTCCAATAACGAGTGGAAAAAAGAAAAAAAAATCCTAACTAGTGGCTTTCCCTAGATACTCCAGTTACATCAGGGTTGCTCTAAACCTATGGGTGCCACAGGTAGTGCAAGCACAATTTATCACGCCGCAACAGTCGCAGAGCTCGAGACTGGAGGCAAGAAACAACTTCACAACTCACGTACCGGGAATAACCGCGAAGGCGAAAGATGCTCTCCTGGATCCCTATTACAATTCGTGACGCGCAAAAAAAGTGGACCCCTGAAAGCAATGCTGCCTTCCAAATTCTGGAACGCCACCATCTCGTCATTGACCCCCAAAATTCACATCCAATCACTCGGGAAGGATCTCAGACGGGCCGATCCAGAATTTATTGTCGCACTGATAATGAGTACATCGGAGAGAACTCATGACGGCTGGGAGGCATACGATATGGGGCCATCGGTGTACGGGGAACCGGCGGTGTCCCCAGAGGGCGACGCCACCGCGAAAACAAGTATCCTTCCTTCTCTCCCCAACCCACATTTGAATAGCGGTACCGATGCTCTCTTACCTGCATAACACTGTCCGTCTATGGTAGCATACCGCACGGCAAAATGCAAGTGTGATGCCATTACCGGCATTCGCGCCAAGGGCTCCTCCTGAACACCCGACCCAGGAGCCGTTGCAGCAACTGTGGCACCAGGAAATGCTTGCCTATTCAGACGGAGCCGTACGTGTAAGCTTCGATTTTACGGTTGCAGGTCTCTCGCCCCTGGGGCGCTTGAAGTCTGCCTTGCAGAACATCCCAAGGCATTTTCAGGGGATCCGCCATACTGATACGGTGGGCGGTGTCACGTTGCATGGACCTTCAAGAGCCTCATTCGGACCCGATACGGCGGATGCCGTGCTCGGCGCTCTTCAAGTTTCAACACCGGTGCTCGAGTAGCTGAGATCGATGGGAAAAACATGGCGCTTTCGGGGTAGGCTACCCCTGCCCACATTTCACGAGATATCGGTGCTACAGTGGGTGCATAGCGACTGTTGACCCGGCGGCGTGTGGTGCGAACTGGCAATTCAATTGGCGTTGGGCCCGAGGCCGTACTTTACTGGTAGCACAGACGATAGCAAAAATAGTTGAAACCTTAAACCAACGCTGAACCCTACAGTACCTCATTAAAACACCCTTCGCGTTGCACAATCTCCCAGCTCAATTACTGTACTCAAGCATATATATAGGGGATTGATAAATCTTGTGCTATCGTTGTGTCCAAACCATAAAGGATTGCCAGATATGAATGGTAAGATGAGACTCTCTGTCACAGACTTCTGTCCTCTCAGGTACCGTACTAGCAGTCGGACCTTGCATACGATACACATACGAGTATATCCCTTTCCGGGTCCGAGGGGGTAAACTTGATAGCCATGCACCCTAAACCTGTGTTTGAGCAACGACTTGAGGTTAACGACGTCCTGGGGGTACAAAAGTACACTTTTCCTTCGGCCAAAACGCGCTGAGTCATTTGAGAGGAGGGAAAGCCCGACCCTCTAGCCAAGCCCATTAAGCCGCTTCCAAAGCTGACCTTAGCACC